CTCATCTACTGTTAAGAAAGCCCATCTGCATTTTCATGCTGTTAGCATCGGTGTTGCACAGTAAAATTGTGCTTGTACAGTGTTATGATCATACCTCCTAGTTCTGTGCAATTCATCAGCCATTTTAATTATGCATTATTTATTCAAATGATAAATTAATCAGCTATACAAATAGTGATGAAAAATGTTTAATAAATAATGTTATAGATTGTAGTTCTTTTTTCCACTGTTCGTTGGACATGAGTTCTAGACTTGTTTATGCTATAAAATACTGCACAACCTTTCTAGGTTTTCAACTGTGACTTGAAATGTGTGACCAAAATATGAATACTGCTGCACTATAACACAAGTAAAAATTACAGACTGCCTACCTTAAAATTTTTCAGTAACATTATAACTTCACTCTCAAAACTTCTGAACATATATCTGCTTTTGCTTCATGATCACAAATTTATAAATTCTACAAATATGCAACAGCAGAAGGAAAACATTTTCAGGTAATTTTACTTCATAATTTATGGTTTATGCAACCTGTTATGTATTGGTGAGACAAAGTTATTGAGATATTTCCTGAACACAGTAGTCCTATTGTTAATGGCAATATTGATGAGCTAATCTCTTTGCATTTTGCCAAAATTGACCCAAAACATTTTATCACTTCAAAATAAATTTCATGTTTCCCATTTGCTGTTTATTTTTGATAAATATATTTTTTTTCCAATTCTACTGTAACTATATGTGGCTTAGCTTGAAAGTAACACAACAAGCACTCCCTGAAATTGAAAGGTTATGGTTTAAATTCTGAAAGCTAGCAAAAACTAACTAAAACAAACTCTTCAACAGTCTTAATAATGTGCTTAAGTTTGTATTGTTGCAGTTTTATTTACAACTTCCATGAATTTTCAAGAGTTCACTTTCCCATTATATCACATTGATTCTAGCATCTCTGAAGCCAACAATACAAAAATTTAAATATTTAAAAGTTCACTTAAGAACAATATTTTAAGAAAGGTTTGCTGAAATTATGGCTTTTCTTTAGGTTGAAAAAGCAAAATTAAGGATGTATTAGTTTCTCCAAAAATCTTTACCATTCTGATAATAAACAAATGCAAATAAATAGGCTTAAAGATATTACTCTAATTTTGTTCAACTCTTAACTTGTGTTCAGTATGATATCCAAATATGTTGGCTTACAGTAAATGCACTTTTCCTTTCTTTATAAATTTTAAATGCTTAACTTTTGAGAAAAATTACAGCATAATTCACAAGCTATGAACACTGATGAGTACGTTTGTTCACATTAAAAACCCAAAACACCAACTGTTTGAAATTCACTGACTCCCGTCCCAGGAAATAATGCTGAATTTCACTTAAAATGTCTTTTTACAAAATTGTTGAAATCAGCTACCCTTGGAGCAAAAGTGTTTTAATATTTTAAAGAAATGTATCAACCATAGATCAGATCTTGATCTTTAAAGCAAAAATCCCCCAAATGCACTAAATTTAATTAAACACTTTTCTTTACACAAACCTTTGTGACAGTTTTGTATTGGGCTAAAATAATCAAATATTATCTTTTCTTTACGTTTTGAGGTCATAACCATATTTGATCGGAGTCAAACATGTTTTTAGTAATGATCACTGTTACAGTAAATCTAATCAAAAACACCATAGGTGTGAATAAAAGGTGCAGCCAAAAAAGGATTGTGTGTGTGCAACTTAAAGGAATGAAAGCAAAATAGGTGACCAAACTGGTAGCTACAATTGTAGCATTTATAAGAATTTGACAGCAAATATTCATTCATTAGTTAGCCAGGCCGCATTTTTTGTTCAACTTTGGACATGATGATGGATAAAACAAAATACGAGGCTTAGCTAACTAATGAATGAATATTTGCTGTAAAATTCTTATCAATACTGTAAGTGTAGCTACCAGTTTGGCAACTAATTTTGATTTCAATCCTTTGGCCACACCTTTTTTCACATCTAAGGTGTTTTTGATTAGATATCATGACTTTTTGTCAATACACACCAATAAACCACAGCAAATAAGAAAGTGACACTTGATAGTAACCAACATTAGCTTTAGGATCACAACCCTATTATTCGGAACAGATCTTTACTTTAGAGAATCAACCAAATTTTTAAGAAAATGTGGTGGTAGTTTTTCCTCTTTAAAAAAATATTAATAGCTTCCTTTATAGTAACACCATAGAATTTAGATTAACAGTTTCTTGTCATCACCCCATGCAATCGGTAAAGCTGTATCAAGCATTATTATTTGTGCTAATTGCTTAAGCTAATATCACGTGATGCTAAACGCTCTTTAATTAGGTTAATTTCATAAAATTTAGTAAATTTGTGTGGACAAATTGGCAATGAATAATCAATAATAATCATCCACCTGTATGATTCTTTTGAAAACTTGAGCTAGAATCTAGTTTACTTGGCCTAACTAATACTTATGTGTCTGCACGACCTTTCACCTTATAATTTTACCACTCTAAATTAGCCATTTTTAATCCGAATAGTAAAAAAACTAAAAATTATCCACTTTTTACTCTCAGGTGGAGCTGTAGTAAAAATGTTAGACCTATAGCTCGTGATTTTTTGCATAGGCATGCACAAAAATTTTCGTCAAATTTGAATGTTTTTTGTTGAATAACTGCATGTGTCTTATATTTACACCAAATGAGACTACGAATTGTAGGTTGAAAAAATTTGTTAATATACTAAATTTGAAAAAAATCCATAAAAGTTAAGTATGTTTTTCTATCAAATAAAGTTTCTATACTTTTGTTGCGAAGAAAAAAAAAGGAAGAAACTCAATCAGAATTGGAAGTTTTATATCTTGGACATTTCTCAATGTATTGCTTTGAAATTTTGTATGTAAAGTAAGAGTCCAGTAGAGCGCATCCACTGAAATTATGTGATAGTTTGGATTACCACAGGATGAGATACAGGAGATTGAAAATCACTAAACTATCACTCCTGTTAATAACACACAGTGTGTCCTACAGCAGGTTGTTTTGGCCTCACGACACACTTTCGTGTGTCTTGATTTGTATTAGATTAAGATTATTGATTAATAGATATGTTTTTCTACCAAAGAAAAAGTATTGTTGGCATACCCAACAACAAGCTGTATTTATTTCCACAATATATAAACAGTGATTTTACAAATGAAATACATACACTTTTACAAATAACCTTACACTTACAATTACATAACTACAGTTTTACAATTTACAAACTGCCAATTCACAGTTAAAGCAGTCATTTAGTGTGTCAGTTAGTTCTTATGGGAACTATGAGTTAGCTGCATTAAATATTACATTTTGAAAAGTAATGGTTGCTGTGGGAAAAATATATTTAGAAAATTTCAAGTACCTCAGGTACACATTGATTGTAACCAAATGAAATGAAAAAAAAAAGTATATTTTTCAATTCAAGTGCATTTTGTTTTGAACATATTTATTTGATACAGTGAATTTCTGTTCATTGCAACTGTACTTTACCAACTTCTCAGTTGAAACTAATAAAAACTGAAAATAGTAGTATCTAGGTCCCATAACAAGAGGATAGGAAAATATCTTGCAAATTACAAAAAAATCACAATTGAACAGGTTTGCATGTGGTGGACTTTAAGTGTGTCAAGGGAAATTGACCCACATATTTTGGTTTTTATTCAGTGCAGGGTAACTGAATGTTCAAAATCTTGGGAGTAGATACTCCAAACCTTTTTGAAATGTGGTGGACCAGGAGGAAGGGGGAATGTATTATAATTGAACCAAACTTCTTTTATTGAGTTGCTGGTGTATTTACAGTGGTGTACTTTCACTTCATGATTTCCTTACAGTGGTAATTAAAAATAACTTGCATATCCCAGACTCAGTGAATCTAATGCTAACATCAGAGATAATGCACTTAAGATACTGTATTTTTTTTAACATACACTGGTGTTGTGCTCAGACAGAACTGACTATAAGCTGGAACAAGATGTTTTGTTGATCATAATACTCAATAAATTAAAATTAACTCTACATATTTCACAATCAGCACATTGGCAATTTACTGAAATTTAAAATTGTGGATGGCTGACATGAAAACGTATCTGTCAGTTTTAAGTAATATCGTTGGATCCTGGTAAAAATCTTTGGGTCCTAGCAAAATCCTTTGGTACACAGTGTGAATGTGTGAACAACAATTCTCAAACCCTACCTATAAGCAGTGATTAAGCAAGAATACGTAGGTTATGTCACAGAACTTTATTGTTAACAATGTATATATATATTTTATCACCATCATTTATCTGCATTTATATTTGGCAGACATTTTGATAAATAGTCTCAAAATGTTCGATAGCTGGCTGCCATTTTATGGTGTATTTTCGTACATTTATTTTATCATCCTATTAGGTAAGCTTAATTTTTTTTTATAATATAATGCTAGTGAAGCACCCAACATGTAAGGGGATCATTATTGTTTAAAGCATACAGATATGCAGCTTCTTGATTGACTTTTGGGAAATTGGGTACATTATTGCATCTGCGGTAATTGCTTGTATAATACATGTATACCCATGAGAAAAACATTGCTTTATAAACCTTAAGACTTAATAAAAAAATTTGATATTTTGCATATGAAAGCATTGAAATGTTTACTGATAATCTGCCAAATTTCATTAACATATGCTTACTAATTTAAAAGTTATAACATGAAAACTATAACACTCACAAAATGGTTACAAGGACCGAGCCCGTGCTGAAAGAGTTAATACTTACTTCATTATGTCTTCTAAAGAAACCTGAGCATTGAATTTCGCAGTTCATTTTAGTAAAAAACAACATTGGTGCTTTTTAGACTGTTATAACTGCATACTTATTTCATCAAAACAATAAAGTAACAAATATTTAAATTTTGTATAGTGTATTATTTTACTAATTTTACTCATTGATAAAAACAATTTTGACTCAAGTTTCTGCCTCTTTTTTTTATAGAGGAAGCAGTAGTAGCAGCAAGAGAAAGAAGAGAAGTCGAAGCCGTGGTCGAAATAAAAAGAGTCGGAGTAGAAGTCGGAGTCGTAGAAGTAGAAGCAGAGGAAGGAGAAGCCGATCTCGTGATCGTGAGCGTAGGAGACATAGTAAGAGCAGAGGCAGGGAACATAAAAGGAAAAGCAGGTAATTAATGTAGTTGTATAAGATATGACCTTAGAAAAAGAGCATGCATAAACTTGGGTTTAAGGTAGTAGCTTCTGACAAACCCATATTTGTTTTTTCTGAACATCAAGCTGTATGTTTGTGTATGTCTGGTTGAAGAGGTCTTAAGGAATGATGAGACTTATTAAGTTGGACATTTTGTAGTTCTAGAAGAAATGTTTTATGATATTACTTGTTTCTTTGTTGGTAAATTTTGATATTTTGATGAACAGTTCTGTTGTGACAAAATAAAATTGAAAGCCATTGTACGTAAAATATGTTAAAGTTTATAAGATATGATAAATTTTGTCTAACCTTTTCCAGACCACAGAGGTGATTATAATAATCCTTTATTTTTTATTTCTTGCAATGGAAATATTTAACCAAATTTTGGGAAACTTAGTCCAACTTAATAAATAGTGTCAAGTTTCAGTTTAAAGAAACTTATAATTTGATTTGATATTATCATTTTTAGGTTGTTAATTTACAAAATCTTGTTGAGAGACATTTTTGAACAAATGTTAATGGTGTGTCTTTCTGTATTAGAATTTAACTGTTTGAAAATATTCATCAGAAAGCTTCATTTTATACATAGTTAGTATCAACTCTTGATGTTCATCAATACAATTCCTTTGATACTTCATTCTGCCAATTGCAGTACTTACCATTTCTAAATATATATTTTAAAAAACAACCATAAAAACTTGAAAATTTTTATCAGTGACCCATGACTTCATCTTTCAAAATGGCATCACCATTACCTTTGTCAGGCTAGGTAACAGTACTTATACCATTGGTCTTTGAGGTCAATTCATACCTAATGAATGTAGTTTTTTTCAATAAATAACAAGTTATGCTATTTATATGCATTCCTTGACTACTATGAACTTAACAATAATGTTCAGTAAAGGTTTTAATCATTAGAATTTTTGTCATCATATACCATACTCATTAATCCTAACTATGCTTACTTGATCCTTGTTATAAAAGGAAATTTCTGTTGTTTCAAACAGATATAATGTATCACAAAAACATTTTCAACAATGAGAAGATTTTCTAAAGAAACTGTTAAGAAAAAAAAATTCCAGAACCATTGTTTGTTCCAAAGTTTCTTAACTACTCATTAGATACATTTATTCATCCCTACAGGATTTCTGGCTAGTCAGTTTTTTTTAAGCTACCATAAATTATTATTCAAGCCATGATATTTATTTTACATTGGCATCAATACTTCATAATTTTCTTTGTTCAGTTGTATATAAATGCTGCTTATTTTCAAAGCTGAACTTCATTAGTAATTGTTCAGACCACATGCTGTGTAATCATAATATGGTGGGAATGAAGGACTGTAGTAATAAAACCACTTACAGACAAAGAAAATCACATGAGAAACAAGACATGGATAATTATATTCTCAAGGTATAGTTTTTGCAAATATAAACTTATACTTTGGGGTGGTCATCCAAATTATTAAGACTGATAAATGCATTGTTTACAAGATACATTGGAAGACTCCTTGGAGCTATGCAGAAATTAAAGTTTGAATTTTTTCATTTTTCTTTGCAAATTATATTGAAAATATTACAAATTGACAGAACATCATTTTTAGTTAAAAATTTTGAAACAGCTAAAAGTATTACTTTTACTTAAATTTTTAAATTTGATACTTGAGATGCTTACTTTCAATGGATAGAGTTAAGACAATTTGTTCAAGAACAATTTACAAATGTAATTTGTGGCCCAATAAATAGGACTGATTGTTCAGTTATGTAATAAAATTATTTGTCAAAAGAAATCAGTGTATATTTTAAGTTCTGGAACTCTACATTATTTGAGAGAAAGTACATAGCGGATGAAAACTATTTAACTGAGAAGGAATAAAAACTTTGTTTTGCAGAAGCCGTAGTCCTGAACGAAAACATAAAAGTAAAGAGCGAAAGAAATCCAGTTCACCACGAAATGAAGTGAGAGAGAGGTGGGTGTCGCTGTCATTATGTAGGTGATTGCAAACCAGTACACAAATGAAAATGATTTCATGATGATGTAATGTCAAGGATTAACTTCAACTTTATAATTGTCAATTGACATATGTCAATTGTCTCGCACACCATTTAAGTGCCTTATGCTTGGTTTGTTGTAGTTAAAGTATTGCTATGGTAATGGAAAAACTCTTCCAGGTTAAAATTTATCTAAAGCTATCTATTGAGAATATTAGGTATCTTGTATTAATTCACATGTCTGTTTATACTGAAGCACTTAGCAACTTTTATAATGCTTATATATAACTATCTGAGCTTAAAATGTGATGGAATTACCATTACTGTCAATATTTACATATGTTTTGTAAACTGTGAGTTATCATACGTCATTTTCTTTTCAGGCCTCCTCCACAAAGAAGTCCTTTAAGGTATGAATGTTCATGTATCAGTTTGTGTAATTATGGAAATGAATAAGTTCACTTATCTTAAAGCTTATAATTCATTTTGTTATGTCAAAAAAAATTATGATTTGTAGAAATTTTACTATTTTTATAGTTCTTTATGATAATTGTGGCTTTTTGAATATTAAAATGTACATCCTTACTGCTAATAGTTCTGAATTTACAAATAGTCTTAATAAGAAAGTTTAAGGCATAAGCTAGATAGTCACAGAAAATAAGGTGAAGAATGTTTTGTCTTTAAATAATGCATAGATAAGGCATAATTTAGATAGTCACAGGTGAAGTTGGTTTTATTTTTAAATAATACCTATGTAATTCTCATATTACGTGATGTCTATGGCATCACTGAATACTAGCCATGTACTTCACCAGTTTGATATTAAGTTTTTATTCATTAACCTTGAATAAAAAACTGGTTAAGGAGTTGCTAACACCAATTTAAGTAAAAGGTTTCCTTTCATATCAGTCCATTCATGTGATATATATGTCATTAAATCTGCTTTGTACCAGTTTGTAATCCTAATCATAGAGGGAACTTATAAGTAGAGTTGTGCTTGAAGTACAGTAGCAAAAAGTGTTTTAGAAAATAAGGTTTTAAATTTTGCCATTTTTAACAAATTGATGTGAAATTTTAAGAAGGCCTTTAAAATGTACAGTCTTATTGCAAAATTGTTGTAAATCTGCTCATTCATTGGTGCAGGAAATATAATTACATAAAACTCTTAATTAGTATCTATTTTGTAAACCTAAAAGTAGAGTAATGAAGAGTTAAGGAATTTGTACTATCCAAAGATTCAAATTTGCTCATAGGATTATGAAATGCAGTCAAAATAAAAATTTTAATGTATGCCACTTGCTTTAGTTGAGGGTGATAAAATGTCGAGATTGGAATTTCAAACTATCTGTAGGAAGAACATATTAATAAATTAGTTTTTAATTTTGTTAACCCATTTACAAGGGCTAAACCTTTTCAAAATATTCATTAGTATAGTGGCATTCTTCCTTATTATTTATAGATTATTTGGCCTATTGAGGAGGATCATGAGACTTTTCATAAAGTTTGGTTAGATACATACTTAAACTAGGTCTTCCATAATTTGGCTATATTTAATTCTTTCATGATTGTTGTTATTAAGGTCACTCAGAGTGTAGAATTACATATTCAAATCTTTCTTGAAGATGCTTCCTTTTGCATAATCTGGTTACCTCTTTCAGTGTGGGCTCAGCCACTGGGACTGACATCATAACCATTTTGTGCATGTTATAGTTTTCATGCTATAACTTTTAAACTAGTAAGCGAATGTTAACAAAATTTGGCAGATTATCAGTAAACATTACATTGCTTTCATATGCTAAATATCAAATTTTTTTTATTAAGTTTTAAGGTTTATAAAGCAATGTTTTTCTCAAGTTCTTTTTTTTTCTTTTCGCATGTTGGCTATCGTGCAAAGTAATATTTATTTTAAGATTAAAAATACTTTTGTGCATCAGAAAATTTTTAAATTTCACATGCAAAATTTTTATAATGTTTAAATAGTTATAAAACGTTTCTTAAGAAAAAAACTGTATTTTATCTATTATTTCCAGTAATTAATTTCTGTTTGGGTTTGGTAGATTTGACTGATCTTGCAACCACCATTAAAAATTAGGAAGTAAAAATAAATTATGCCTCTTTCATTCTATAATGAACACGTATTATAACACGAAAACATAAATGTTTAAACTAAATAGCTTAAATTTCATAACATTATATATTTATTATTTTTATTATATTGACCTCTCAGCCATGCCTGGCTAACAATACATAGAACAGCAAATAAAAAAGTAAAGCAAACAATTATCTCTTCTAGTAACGACCTTTGTACTCGGTTGCTGCTTGATGTAGGTTGCTAAGCCTTTAAAAATGTTGCAGGTGGAGGATATGAAACAAAATATTTTTTTAGGTTTTTTATATATACATTTGAATAACTAAAAAATCATAAATTATTACATTAGTACCATAGAATTCAACTATAATTTATCAAGCTTAGTAACTAAGATGTGTTTTAGCCTAAAAATATATAAAATTTTGAGCAGACTAAAGACACGTTGAAATATTGGTTCAAAAGAAAGAAATGATGCGAAGTTCGTTAAAATGGCTGAGAAAGCCACTAGGGGGACATTTTTGGTTATTCATGTCGTATATAGAAGTAAGTGTATATAAGGGAGCATTTCCAAAAATGGAAAGAGGTGGGCAGGGTGCCACTGTAATTAGATTTATTACATGAGCAATATCTTAGCAAATTTAAACGATAAGAGGCTCTTATCTTATATCCTAGCTTGTCAGTATCAATAATTTAAGTTTCTAATTCATTAGAAACTATAGACTTTGTGTTTTGACATCACAAACATCTAATTTGAACCAGTGCTGCATTCAACATACCATGTAACATACAAAAATCAATGTTTATCTGTGTCTTTAATATTTGCTTTTAAATTAAGAAATTGAGTAATATATAGTACTAAAACTTGAATTATAATGTACAGTTTGATACCAAACTTATTGACATATATTTATGAAATAGTAGTTCAGTAAAATTTTGAATGTGAGTCAACAAACAAGATGATATGGCCTTTCACCCGTGACCCATCTGAAATGGGTTAAATCGTGTTTCACAATTAATCCTCATCTTTTTGTGTTTGACCTTCCAAAGTATGTGAGAAACACAAGGAACATTTTAAGTGCAAATAACTTCTTATTGCATGGCTTTGCAATGATTTCATTTACCCAAGCAGGGCTAAATGAAAGACCCATATCATATTCTAGAAACTTCAATCTAAGAACAATGGATTAGATCTCAGTGAAAAGAAAATATAGACTACATTAGACTTCTCTAAAATAAAACTCCTATTATAAGAAAAATAATTCCCAAGGTACCTACAGAACAGTCACAATTGTTTCACTTTTGACAAGATGAAAGAAAAGGATTTGTAATATGAATCACAAAAGACATTCTTGAGATAACTTGAAATTTTAATAACTTAAAAATTTTGAGGAACATGTTTTTTTCTGGACTTTACAATAACAATTTATTTTGAGTCTGTTTCAACCATTAAGATTTAGCTATTCTATAAAGTGCTAAGAATTAAATGTAAAAAATCATAGGTAAAAATGGACAATTTTCTAGTTCATATCTCGAAGTTATTTTTAAAATGTACAATTTAAAATGAACTAACAAAGTTAACATTCTCTAACCTATAACTTTATTTTATATATATTAAGTTTTACTTTTTAATGTATGCTTTAGGTAAGTGAGGTACATAGTGTTTTGTGGTTTGTTAGTTTACTGTAGAAATTAAGTGCTTCCAAGTATTTATTGAACAAAGCCAAGCAATTTAAAATGATCTATGTGAGAAGAATTAACTGTAGTATTTATTACTTATTTATTACTGCTAAAATCAGTCTCAGTGAACTCTGATTTAACTTGCAGGTAGTACTAATAATTATAATAAAAAAATTCAATTTGTATTGGAAACTGTAAGCTTTAGTGAATTCGAAAGTCCTATGGAGGAATTAAAATTTTAGAGAGTTTGAGATATTTTGGCTAAATCATAAATTTTTAATGAATGGGTTGGATTTAAATATGCTATATTTTACAGTTACTTATTCACAAGTGTCTATTCAACAGTCTCTGTATGGGCTTGGTCATTTTGACTAACTTTGAAACCACCATGTAACCATGAAACTGAATGTATTATAATTTTTAATGTAGCAAGTAAATTTGGAAATCTTTTAATAAACATTACAACTCTTGTACACAAAAGAGCTGATTTTTTAATTAAGTATTTTTTACTCAAGATTTGTATGTGAATTTATGGAAGTTTTACTTTGACTAGTCTGAGTACAAGGTGATATTCATGTTAAGATTGAAAATACTTTTTGTCGTCTTGCAGTTTTCAGATTTCATTTACGTAACCACAGTTTTCAGATTTTATTTTCATAATGTCTCAAACCTCCTAAATGAATAGAAAAAGTTTTTTTTGAGTAAAACTATATTTTATCTTTTATATTTAACACGCATTGATAATAAATTAGTTTAATTACATTTTGAATGCAACTGTGTAAAAATATCATGACATGCTCAATTTTACATATTTTTATCTAAAGGGTTAAAAGAGTTGTTTTAAATGTACTTTTGAACATGCTATAAACCTTTTTCTTTGTTGGAAGCAGTATTACATTTATATATATATGTGTTTTATTTGGCACAGAGAGCCAAATGAAGAACTCAGTCCAGAAGAGAGAGATCAAAGAACTGTGTTTTGCATGCAACTTTCTCAGAGAATTAGAGCTCGAGACTTAGAAGAGTTCTTTTCTGCAGTAGGAAAGGTAATAATTTCTTTAAGAAGCAAAATGCTTGTTAGGGATTAAGTGGAGCAAATGTAAAAAAGTTTTGAGACATTAGAATATGTAAAACAAGCCTAAAGTAATAATAGGAGTTATGTTAATTCAATCATTAGTGTGTGTGTGTGTGTATATGTGTATTTTTATGCCATGTTTATGATAATTAATAGTTGATTGCCAGATCTAGTTTCTTAGCTTGTTCATTTAGCTTTGATTACAGATTTTTCCACATTTTATTCCATAGTCAATAAAAGATTGCCACTAATGGTGTTATCTGTAAAATTTGTCACATCTTTAATTTTATCTTTGTTGGCACCTTCATATTTTAGGTTATTGTATTAAATATAAAGATCAATATAGACTTCAGTATAATACCTCCATTTATTATTTCTGTTACTGCCAAGTTCCAACTAGATGGTAATGTATGGTAGTCAAATTATTTTTTAATAGATCTTTCTGCTTCGATGTTTCTACTGATTATCGTGGTTTAGTTCATCATAATCAGTGGAATTTCAACTTAATATTTTTGGAATATTTTACTCTTTTCTTAGTTTGTTTTTTTTCCAGTCAGTACATAAATGTAACTACAGCAAGCTATTTTGTATTTATTTTTTATAGGTACGGGATGTAAAACTCATCATGGACAACAAAACAAGAAGGTCCAAGGGAATTGCTTATGTAGAATTTCAGTTAGTTGAATCTGTTTCATTGGTAAGTTTGAGTAAGGAGATAAATGTGTTTTTTTTTTGTTTTCTGGAAGCTATATTTTAGGGTGAAAATAGATTATTTTTAACAAGTAAATGTTGTATACCTCAAATTCTAACATACATTTTATTGTTGTGAAAGGTAAAATTGATGAGATTTTATCAACAAATCATTTTTCTATGAATTGAGCAATAGTAAATATACTTGTAACAATAAACTGGTATTCTTTTACAAAAACAACCCGATTTGTCTTCTTGTTGTGTTACTGACTCCAAACTCTATTTATTTTGAATCTTTGTCTTGTTTTTTAGTGTTTAACCAAGTAGATATTGATTATTTAGAAAAAAAATATCTTCACTCTGAAGTATATCAGTACATTTTTCTCTTCTGTTGAATGCATGTTGTATGTTATGTTACTTTTCAAGTGATTGAATTTGACTAATAAAGTCAAATTGTATAACATTAATATTCATTGAGGAGGCAGCCTTCTAATTCTTACTAGTTAGAGGGGAAATGCTATACATGCAAGTAATGCTTTAACACAAGTAGATATTTGCACAATAAATATTTAAAAAAAACATAAAAATAGTTTTGATGTTTAATACCTTATTGAAAATAGGACATCAACTCTAAAAAAGAGAGAACTTTTTAGTTGAAAAGTGGAAATTGTTCTGCCTGTTTCATAGGGAAATAATGCACTATATTTATTCTTAGTACCTGTATTTGAGTAATCTCTGAATTTGGGCTGTTATTGTACTTCAATGTAAGTTTACTTCCTTTTAACTAATACAGCTATTACTTTAATCCTTTCTGGACTGTGGAGTGTCAAAATCAACCACTGGTCTTTTACATTCTCACAGTGAAAGTACTTAACCAAACTGCGTGAAAGTTGGTACAATCATTTTAAGTTTGGTCTAGAGTCTGGTGAAAAACAATTCATAAAACTTCATTTAAACCTATGGTTAATGGTGGGGGGGGGGGGTCAATGTGTTCATGCCACGACATTATACAGAGTTCCATTCAAACTTTAATTAAACAACTTTATTATCAATGTTTGTAAATAAGCTTGGCATCAATAAATAGTGTCAATTCAAATTTTTATATTATCTAAGTTTTCATTTCTTAATTTTAAAAGGAAATATATAAATAAATTCTCAACCTGCAATTTTCAGAGTCATGACTTAGTGGTACTGTGATTTCTCATTTATAGGTTTTTTTTCATTCCTTACAAGTGATTCAGATTGTTAAAACAATTAGAAGCATGTGCTGTAGATACAAACAAGCTAGAATATAAATTTTTAGCATCCTATCTTCTTGATTTACTGAGCTATCTGTATACTTGTTCAACTGACATTGACACATTCCTCCCATACTCTTTGTCTTTTAAGTAATCCCTTTTATTTTCTTTCAAATTATTATTGGACATGTTTATAACCAATAGAAAGATCAAATTGTGCACTGTAGATCACCTGTTTTGTTTGAGCCATAAAAGTCGGTAATTTGCCATCAGAGCTCAATGGGTTTGGATCTGAGAAGTAATGAAATTCTTTTAGCTTATTTATAGGTTAATTAGAAAGCCATGTAAATTACAGTAGTTTTTGTACAGCCTAATTTAGTGAATGGTATGTTTTTTGATTTTCTAAAATTTGTATTTGAAAGCTACATGCATTATTTAATTAGAAAAACATGAGCTTACTAAATCATGCATGGAGTGCAAATGGCCTAAAGGCTAAAGCAAGTGCTAAATTTCTTGTTTTTTTTTATTGATATTTATTTTTTTATTAAAATAACTCAAATATAAAAACTAGAAACTTGTTAGGTTAGATAAGAAAACATAAATGGGGAAAAAATTATATAAAAAGTTTCTCAAATTTGATGTAAATGATATAAACACACAAACTAACAAAGATTTATTGGTGTCGACGGGCCTCACCTTTCAAAATGGTGTCACCATTATCTTTTTCAGGAATCATGCTATGATGTTTTAAGAACAATATTTTTGGTTGAGATCAATTTATCTCTAGTATTTATAGTTTGTTTTCTATAAATAAGAAGTTCTTGTACTTGTGTGTTGTTTGAATTCAGTAAGCTTAACAGTATATTCAATAAAAAAAGGTTTTGTGTCATCTGAATAGTTTTCAATCGCAGGCCTAGCTTACCATGACCCACCATCCAGAAAGGGTTAAAGCATATTTTTATTATGTGATCCGTATGGTCTCCTTGTGTAGCGAAGACAAGCTATTTGTCATTCACAGGTAGGTGGGAAAACTGAAATTTAAATTGTTTATTGAAAATATAATATTTAAAATGAAGTATATTTATATAATTTTCATTTTCTGTCTTTTAAGGTTTGATGGAAGTATTAAAGTTTGAAATAAAATTGATTGGTTTTTCTTTCAGGCTTTAGGACTCAATGGGCAGAAACTTCTAGGTGTACCTATAATTGTTCAACCTACTCAAGCTGAAAAAAATAGAGCAGCAGCTAGTGCAAATAACCTTCAGAAGGGAAATACTGGCCCAATGAGACTCTATGTGGGCTCCTTACATTTCAATATTACTGAAGATATGCTTAAAGGAATTTTTGAACCTTTTGGCAAGGTTTGTATATTATTTTTATAACTATTTACTGATTATAGTTCAGGTTAGACCTGATAAAATTAGATTTTATTTACAATGTAGCTAATTTATTGATTGCATGTAGTTGAGTGGATCAAATTGACAATAATGCTTTATAGCAGAGAATGTCCAGGGTTCTCACAAAATTGTATTTACAATTTACACTGGATGTCGTTTCCCTTTATGAGTGCAAAGTAATTTTCATGATAAAATATAAATACTTTTCTTAATCTGAAAATTTTCACATATCATTTGCATAACCCATAAAACCTCCTAAATAAATATCAAATGTTTCTTTCAAGAAAACCATATTTAATCTGTTATTTTATTTACCCTAACTTTATATGATTTGACCGACCTCATAACCAACATAAAAAAATAAGAAATAATTATAAATTTCCCCTATTTTCTTTCTGGAATGACTACAAATTGTAATAGAAAACCACAATTGTTTATCCTAAGTGGCTTAAAACTTGTAACATTATAAATGTATTTATACTTAAATTTTATTGCCCTTTGAACCGTGTCTAACAACTATTTGTGGATATAAATTGCAAATCACTTGTCAAACATGCAGCTCACTTTATGGTATCGTATTATATAACACACAGACTAGTCTGAGTATATCTCAAAAAGTTATTATTAATAATAATAATATTATTATTTATTTTACTTTAGATGACCAAAAAGTTTTCAATTTTTACATTTTAGTTACTTTTATAACAATAAAGAATAAACATGAAAAACAAGAAATAATGTACTTACCTGGATTTTTATTTCTTTGCTCTTGATTGTCATGAAATTTAACCCTACTTTTTTAAACTAATTGTACTATTGCATTAAATAATTTCTGTTTAATTAAATAATTCACCAAAGAACACAGTATAACAACATGCAAAAAGGAAACAATGTTTCATAAGTATTACAGTTTTTCTAGCTTTCTAACAAAAGCCATTAAAAATTCAGCTAAGCTTTTTGATGCGTGTCCTGTGGGGATAAAATTTGAACTGGAAGGAAAATAGACAATTCTCTATACAGACAATAAAGTAATATAATACATCATTTGATAGAAAAAAAGACTTTGGCTTTCTATTGGTTATAAATAATATAGTCTTAAATGTCAGAGAGAATTATTGGCAAGTTCTGAAAGAGAGGATGTGACAAATGGGTGTGGCAAGAGGGGTTTGTTTTTTTATTTTATTGCTCTGTAACTAAATAAAATTGAGTGTTATGTAAATTATGCTTTGCCTGAACATTGAAAACATTATAATGTATAGTTTACATTAAATTTTGTACTTCTTGGAGTGGTGGTAAAATAATTAGAGAAGAGGGAAGACAGAGATAAAAAACATCACAGTTCTCATACTAGGGAAGATTGAGAATTTTTGAAAAATATTTCCTTATAAAATTTAGAACTTAAAAATTAAATAGTATCAGACTTTGATTTATTATGTATGTTCTAATGCTGAGTTTATTTATATGTCTTGATAATAAAGTAGTTTAATTAAATTTTGAACAATTGTGACATGCGCACTTTGACCTATCTGAGGCAAAAGGGTTAATCATGTGGTACTTTCACATGGCTTTATTTTCATGCAATGTATTGTCACTGATGAAACTTGTTAGAAGTTGATTGTGGACAGCTGTGTGAAAACTATGCTGTTTAGTTTGTTATGGTACAAATTTTGAAGCAAATTATTTGTGCTCGCCTTGCATATGGAGTGTTTTGAGGTGCATATTTAATACCCAGAGGGTCAAATCTTATGCATCCCAACACATACACATGCATACGGGACCTGAGAGTTTGGGTTAACTAGAGCCCTGATGTCTTTAGGTTTTAGTCTTTTTTTATTAACTTGCTTTCCAAAGGCATCTTTTTCTGTACATGTCTCAAGGCTTTTGTGAGTTACATTCAAAATTTAATTAAACTACTTTCTTTTCATGGTATTCCAATAAATGTAGCATAAAAATGTAGCTAATAGTCCATATTTTAATATTATATAAGTTTTAAGTTCTTACTTTTATGAGACAATATTTAAAAATAATCTAGAATTTCCTGTAGCATGAGAATTGTGACGTTTGCTATCTAGGCATCCCCTTTTCTCTAATTTATTTACCTTCCCTCCAGAAAGTACAACATTTAACATAAATTGCTCGTTATAATACCATCATTGCTCAGGCAAAGCATAATTTTCATAGCCTTCAATCTTATTGAGTTACAGAGCCATGAAATAAACAATCAGACTGCTTATGCCACACCCACCTGTCACATCCTCTCTCTCGGAAATTACAAATAATTCTCTAAGATGTTCAATACTATATTTTTTATAACCAATAGAAAGCCAAGGTTTTGAGTTATCATATGATTTATTATATTGCCTTGTTTTCTATAAAGGGAATTGTCAATTTAGCTTTCAGTTCAGGCTTAGTTCCCACAGGAAGCACATTGATGAGCTTAGATGAAGTTTTTGTTGCATAATTAGAAAGCCAGAAATATTGTCATAGTTATGGGACACCATCTGGTTTTTGCACATTATTATTTTGTGTTCTTTGATGAATTATTTAATTAAATAAAAAATTATTTAGTGTAGTACCACTATTAGTATAAAAAAGTAGGGTTACGTGTCATCGACAATTGACAGAAAAAAAAAGACCAAGGTAAGTACTTTTTGTTAGTTTTTCTTTTGTATTCTTTATTTATTATTATAAAAGTAACTAAAATGTAAAAATAGGAAATTTTTATGTTAGTTAAGATTAGATTATGTGAAATAAATAATAATAATAATATACTAAAAAGTTTTCATAAGGTATGCTCAAGAGTAAGTTGTGCATAATATAATTCGATAGCATAAGGAGAGCTGCATGTTCACAAAGTTATTTATAATGGCATGAATAGTAGTTAAACAGAGTTCAAAAAGCATTAAAACAATAAAATTTAAATATAAATAGATGCTTACTAATATGAGTTTAAAGCTATTTAGGAGAAACAAATTTGGTTTCATATTACAATTTGAAGTCATTCCAGAAAGAAAAGAGCAATTTAGATTTGGGGGGGGGGGTCAGTCAAATTGACCAGCCTTGTATAAAGTTAGGGTAAAGAAAACAACTCAAGCATAAAATTTTACTAATAATCTTAACGTGAAAATCACTTTACTTAGACTAATATAGAGAAATACTATGTATATTCATGGACAAATCTTTAGTAAAATTACTTCAATAAAACATCTGATTTTTGAAGTAATTTTACTAAAGATTTGTAATGTGTACTAAAAGTCTGCTAAATTTTGTGAAGATAGAATGTACTAAAAGTTATAGTATTGACATTATAACGAATACAAAACGGTTACTGAGTTCTTGGCGAGAGAATTAATAGTCAAGTTATACAGTTCTAATGATGTATTCAGATATAAAAAATGTTAATGTTCTAGATTTTTAAATATCACAGTAATAAAAAAATTAATATCTTGTATCAGTGTTTATCTTTACAATTATATAGTGTTAATGTATGTAGTCTTTTTATGTTAGTAGGAGTAGAATCTATGGTTGTTATGTGTAGTTTTCCAACAACAATTAGTAATTTAACTACTAAGTTTTAATGATATTTTCAGATTGACAAAATTGAACTCGTAAGAGACACAGAAACTGCAAGGTCAAAAGGTTATGGATTTATTACAGTAAGTTTTCGGTAATTGTTTGCTAAGTGTCAAGAGTTATATCATGTACTTAATCAAAGAAACTTGTTGTGTTTTTTACTATCTGATTAGTTTTATTTTTTCAAGTTTTGGATAAACAAAATTTGGGATAAGTTTCTATTTTTTCATATTTTTATAGAAGATGTTCTATTAAAGTTACTCATTTTGTTGTTTCTATTCTTATTTGACATTTTAAAAATACTAGTTTTTATCATCCCTGTTGCAGGCTTAGTAACTTAGTTTGGTTTTAATTATCTCTTTCATGAACAGAACAAATTATTTTAGACAAAAATTTTGAAAATTGTTATAAAGTGTAAAGAAGTGAAACATTTCCTTCATCAACTAGAAAATGATTATCTATTGCAGTTTCAGAAGTATGAGTTGTAGCCATATGGTTACAGAAACTTTTGACTTAAACATATGTATTAAGATATCTAGAACTTTATCTTACAGTTTAGTTGAGGCAATGCCACAATCCCGTAATGCCGGATTTGGTTTCTTGTACATTTTGCTCTTACAGTGGTTTTGGGCAAAAGCTAACTTCCTCTTCGTAATTCTGGTTGCTTGATGTATAACACACTGTTTACGTATGGTTGGGGTTGATGAGTATATGTAATATGGTCCACATGCCCTAGTCACTATGTTTATGTTACAATATATTTGTTTTTATTATTTTTGATCCTCAAACTCCTAATGCTGAGCATGGGTTATGGAACCTCATCTGTCCAGTTGAGGTTGTGTATATACTGATTTGGTTTATATTTTTCTATGGATTGCACTTCTCTGAACAAATTGCTCTTGTGCACATCCTTTTTTTCTGTCTGTATCAGATTAATTTCCTACTTCAAGGGTGAAGAATATACCTGTTCCAGAAGTAATGTGGTACCTCACAATTGTGCTTCATTTTAATCTTGGAGCACACCCATTCATTCTGGACAGTCGCTTTCCACTTGGTTTCAAAATTGTGTGCGTAGTCTGGCCCCTTCACCTTTATACTGTGGGATTCTAGCTTTGTGTGGAGGTAAGACCGTATCAGAAGTTAATATTTTTTTTACAATAAAAATGTATTTTTGATAGGTACTTACTTCTGCTTACACACTTCCCACCCTTCTTCCCCCACTGCTGATGTTCTTTTAGAGCTTGCCAATACTCAAAAGTGGGGATTGTGCAGGAATACCAGAGAGTGCTAGCTGCATCAATATAGGTGGTGCAGTATTATTGGTGAAAACTAGTCACATGATATGTACATGTTCAAAAATGTTGCACAATTGACGGGGTATACAACAAATTTCACAAGCTTATTTTAACATCAATATATTATCAAAAAATATTTTTTATTTAATTACTAGTGTAAGATAATTAACCAAATTATATTGCCCTTAATTGTTATACTGATACTTAAGTTTGTGCATGGACAGCAATTTTAGATAGAATGTTATAGTATCGTGTTTTTTTACTGATTTTATTAGTAGTAGTAATAGTACTTAGTCTACTGTATCATTATTGCTGTATTATTTATATGGCATTTTATTTCTTATATTATTGTGTGCTAAATTTCGGAAGAGGAAGCAGATTTTACTCTTCCCACAGCTTGACAGCCTTATTGTTCAATAATGTTGTCATTGTCAAATATGGGTGAAACCATCTGGATACATTCCAGTAATATTACGGAGTGGAATTACGTATAATGTAACATGGCCTTTTTTTACATAGAACTAACCATTTGAAAATCTGGTTATGAATAAATATAGCTTTAGTTAAATTGTCCTTTATAATATATGGAAAAGGTAACTTCACTCACCTTCACATTATGTACAACATGGAAACTACACTTTGCAACACACTTTCAGTTTATTTTCAACAAAATGTTAAAAGCTGTTAGAAGGTTAACCTTTTTTCTGCTCAGTAAGGAATTATCTCTTAAATGATTACTGTGCCCAATTAAGGTAAGCTTTCAAAGTCTGTCATGCATGAATTACATTATATAATAAATGTATTCAAATGGTAACAGTATTGACAAAGGGTTAAATCATTTTTCCTACTAACTATCACTGTTGTTTCTGCTCATTGCCACTTTTCACAGCCAACATCCATCATTATAATACATATTGTTACTGGATTATCATTATTTTTACACTAACATATCTTCAGATTTTATTATTCCCTCTCCTCCTGATGAAGAAGTAGTCATTTTCTAAAAGATGTGGGATATCAAGCATTACTATGTTCTTTTTTTACTTCAACAACATTAATTTTTTTTAATGCTAGAATATAATGAAAACCAGGAGTTACTTTAACCTTCTCTTTGTTGTTATTAAAATAGTCATCATCAAATGTTGAACTAATTCAATTCAAAATTTAGCTAAAAAAATATCAAGTTCTATCTTTTCCTTATTGTAGACCAACAGAAAATTGTGATGCTCTTTAATTTTCAGTAAGTTGCTATTCTATTATTCTTATCATAGAAAAAATTAGATTATATTTTTTATGGATTGTGCTCTAACTTTTTTAGTTCCGTGATTCAGAAGATGCCAAAAAAGCACTAGAACAGTTAAATGGCTTTGAATTGGCTGGTAGACCAATGAAGGTGGGTCATGTAACAGAACGATTGGACACTTCCCAGGGATCATCATTTTTGGACAGTGAAGAATTGGATCGGACTGGTATAGATTTGGGAGCCACTGGGAGACTTCAGTTAATGGCAAAATTAGCTGAAGGTTAGGGAAAAAGACATCTCTTACTACTCATAAATTTTAATGTTTTTTTTTACTTTAAAATTTAGTAGAGAGCATAATTGCTTAACATAGATGTAGAAGAAGTTATGAAGTTAATTGCTTGTAAATAAAAATAGTTATTTAAAGCCAATTTGATGGTCATTCGGTAACTAAACTATTAAAACATCAAACTGTAATGTGAAAATTAGTATTAAAGCAGTTTTATGTTAATTTATTCTTTAAACTTCAGTACTTAAATAGAATCTACATTTTATTACATTTGCTTTCCTAACAAAGTTAGCAAAAGTATATGATATGTTGTAGTATTTCATTGTTTTATTTTAGTCCAGAACACAGTTTTAGTCAATTTTTGTTGCTGATAAATTGGCAGTTTCAAGTTATAATATTAAACTTATTAAAATAAAGATATATTGTATGGAAAATGTTTATGTATTTGCAGGGACTGGATTTCAAATTCCAGAAGCAGCAATGTCAGCATTACAATTACACACTGCTAATGCTGCTAACAGCCAATCTGCTCCACCTATAGCAACCCAATGTTTCATGCTTTCAAATATGTTTGACCCTGGAACGTAAGTATTGCATGTACACTTGTTTGTCAGTCTGAAATTATATTCCACAATTTGGTTTGTGTAATTTGTTGTTAATGATATCTAATCTACAAAATCTGTGAAAAATTAGGGTTTTGGTGTTGCATTTATCAAATACTGTAGTTTTCTAGAAACTTTTCTATGCCAGTGTAAAATAATCTTATTGAAGACAGTAAACAATTTATAATTATAGAATGTTTATGAACCATTATTGGACATTTATAATTTTTGCTTAAGCATTTGTTCTAACAGTAATTTGTTTGAAAGTTCATTGTTAAATGCCTTTTTTATTTTGTGTTTTGAGAAGAACTATCTATCCTACCTGGAATAGGAATTGTTCCATTATCTTATTCTTAAAGGATCTGTTTTGCTGGTTTATTTAAAGTGCTACTATTTAATTATAATTATTGTGTGTTTTTAACAGAGAATCTAATCCATCATGGGACATAGAAGTTCGTAATGATGTCATAGATGAATGTAGAAAACATGGTGGTGTGTCTCATGTATATGTGGATAAAGCATCACCTCAGGGAAATGTCTATGTAAAATGTCCTACTGTTGCTGCTGCTGTAGCATCTGTTAGTGCCCTTCATGGACGGTGGTTTGCAGGTAAGAAACTGGTGTACAGAAATAGGCTGCAGTAAAAAGTTTGGTAAACTTGTGTAAAGCTAAAGTTATGGAATAAGTACTAGTACGAGTAGCTTCCCACTTATCAGAAGTGGAAGAACAGATATCTTGTGTCATTGACAACTTTGTTGAATGGACGGCAATTGCCTGTTGTAGAAACACAAGTGTGGAGGACGACGTTTCAAAAGTCTTCCGCCTTTTGTTTTCAGGTCCAAGACAAAAGGTGGAAGAGTTTCAAAACGTCTTTCTCTACACTTGTGTTTCTACAACAGGCAGTTGCCATCCATTCAACAAAGTTTCATCATGAATACTCTGCCTGAACAATCTATCAAAGAATTGACAACTATACTTTGGTTGCAGCTTTTCTGCTGCTTAATTAAGAACACTTTCTAGTATTAAATAAATTATCTTTAGGCCACTTAAAAAGAAAGGTCACCTGATTTTGAAACACTTGTTTTTTTTGTTTACTTTGTTGTTCTTAAAACATAATCAACCTCAATTTTCTGTATATGCCTGTCAGCAGCAATAGCAAAAAAGTGCATACTTTGAGTTGAGAAAGCAATCTATATACAGGGATAAAAAAATGTGCACATAAACATATAAAATAATATAACTTTAATAGACACTGCAAGGTAGATAAATATATTTAAGTATACATATCTAGTATTTAAAAATAATAAAAAATTAATTGACTGATCGAAATTTTTCAGGGAACAACTGAGAAATAATGTTTACTGGCTTCCAGCCGTTCTACAATCAAGTGCTTATAATCAAGAAGAATTTTTACTAATAAAAAAATTATTACAGAAAATATACCTAGAATTTAAAACAAGACAGACAGAAAAAGCCAACAACACTCGATGAAAATCCATTTTTAAACAGTCTAATATTAAAAAAGTCAAACGAAATACCTTTTGTTATTATCTATCACTGTAAACTCAGGAACATGTCATCTTTTCTGAAAAAAACAAGATTTATATCTACTACAACTAAATGATTGTCTAAGACAAATTTTTCTTCAAATTCCCATTTTTTTCTTCTAGAAAAGCAAAAAATTGTAATGATATCTTTGTTTGTGAAAAGGTAAGTTTACAACCCACCACAGAATTGAAACATCATCTTTGTAATAAAGCTCGTTGTCTAACATGAACTTTAAAAACTACTGACTCTTTTTTCAAACAACTGTGACTAAAAACACTTTAAAATTATTAAAGAAATTACTTGCATATTCCAAAACACCATTTATCTCATACAGTATAAAAACTGCAATAATCAATATGAAGAACAAACCTCTGTGTGTTTCATCAACCATAAATCTACTATTAACACCCTCTTTCTCAACAATTCAACTAACTGATTCATTCTATTAACCCTATCATGACGGGTCATGTCAAAGGCCATGTCATTTCGTTTGTTGACTTGCATTCAACATTTTATTGAACTACTGTTTTATGAATTTATGTCAATAAGTTTGGTATCAAATATTAGATTATAATTCAAATTTTAGTATTATACATTAGTTAATTTCTTAATTTAAAAGTAAATATAAAAAAAACCCAGCTAAACGTCTATTTTTGGGTGTCACTTGGTATGTTGAATGTAGCATTGGTTCAAATTAGATGTTTGTGATGTCAAAATACAAAATCTATAGTTTTGTATGAATGTGAATGTTTGATGTTATTGTGTTAATATCGTTCTTTTCACACAAGATTTCAAACGATAAGGTAAGT